AGAAAAAGAAGCCAAACACACAGTTACAAAATGGGAGATACTTCAGGAGCAAGAAAGATCTTAGAATTCTGTAGATAACAGACTGAACATGAGCCGATAGTGTGATGTTGCTACAAAAAAGGCCAGTGCTATTTTAAGCTGGATCAATAGAAGTATAGTCACCAAATCCTCCAGACACTAGTTCCCCCTCTATTCTGACACTGGTTAAGCCTCATCTTGAGGACTGTGTCAACTTCTGGACACTTTACTTCAGTAAGGTTGCTGACAAATTGGAACAAATTCATAGGAGGGCAACAAGGAAAATTCGTCATCGTCTAGTCGTTTAGTCGTGTCCGACCCCATGGACCAGAGCATGCCAGGCCCTCCTATCTTCCACTGCCTCCCGGAGTTCTGTCAATTTCATGTTGGTTGCTTCGCAAACACTGTCCAGCCATCTCATCCTCTGTCGTCCCCTTCTCCTCTTGCCATCACACTTTCCTAACATCAGGTTCTTTTCCAGGGAGTCTTTTCTTCTCATCAGATGGCCAAAGTACTAGCCCTATGAGAAATGACTGAAAAAAATTGGGCACGTTCAGCCCTGAGAAAAGAAGACTGAGGGTAGATGTGATAGCACTTTTCAAAGACTTGAAAGGCTTTCATGCAGAGGAGGAGCAGAACCTGTTCTCGAACAATCCGAAGTGCAGGACACGCAACCATGGGCTCATGATAGAGGAAGCCAGAGTTTGGTTGAATATCAGGAAAAACGTCCTAACTGTTAGAGCAGTAAGACAGTGGAACCAATGACCTCGAGAGGTGGTGAGTGCTCCAACACTGGAGGCAGATATCCTTTGATTTGTGTTCCTGCATCGAGCAGAGGGTTAGACTTGATGAGTGGCAAAGGGATAACCAGGCTGCTGTTGTTTCTACAGATCCTGAAGGAAACACATGGGTCCCCTCAGGATGGGGGCAAGGTGAAACTTCCTTCTCCCCACAAGCCATTCAAAACTGCATCTGTATACTAGCACACTCTTTTCTCTGTGTAGTGTCATGATTTATGTATGTATGTATGTATGTATGTAATTAGTTAATTAGTTAATTAGTTAATTAGTTAATTAGTTAATTAGTTAATTAGTTAATTAATTTTTACCCCGCCCCTCTAGACAATATCTACTCGGGGCAGCTTACATAGATCAAAACACATCAATATAAACATGTATAAAATCATTTAAAATGCAATTACAATTATAATGATTAATTCCAAAACAATACATTATCAAGATAGCAAAAAGTCACACAACT